CAAGTAACAAAATTGGGACGTGAATAACATAACGAATGTCATAAAAAATAGTTCTGTCTATATTTTCAACATTTCTATCTCTTAGTAGATCAAGTAACATTGTTCTTATTTTCTTTGAAGAATTTCCTTTAAAACTCTATAGAGCATAAAATCGTTTATTTCTCTCAATATACATAAAAAGTTTAACGAATAATATCTATTTTGTGAACATTTTTATGACGTGTTTTGATTAATTCATTCTATTATTGTCGCACCAAAAGAAGAGGAAAATATACAAGTCAAAACTATTCATTAAGACAGAGTTTATTTTGTAAAAGTTGATACGAGATGTCAGTTAGAACATTTCCAAAATGTTTATGAAAGGATTAGACAACTGAAACACTATGAAGATGGACAAACAATAATACTTTAAGATGTGCACTCAATTTCATCAAATATTAACGAAACAATAGAAATGACTGGAATTGATTAGTGAGATAGAGGGTGTGGACGTGGGTTCTATTCGTAATAAAGTAAGTGTTTATCAATCCTGTTGACAATCTTTCATTCTGCAATTGCACTAATTTAAAACGTTATCGAAAACAAATTCAAGATTGTATGATGTCTTGGTGTACATTCAATAGATATAGTATATTTTGTACAACAACATTTTAATGTTTGAGCTTATTTAGTGTTATAGAAAAGCATCGAAGATCATTATACCCTAAGCACATACTTTTGGAAAACTCTCAGTCAGACATTTTTTTAGTCAAAAACAATATAGATATTACTTTTTCATAAAGTTTAGAAAAAACAAATCAGTTGTCAATTATGAATCGTTTCGAAAATTCACTAGTTGTAATAAAAATTGTATCCTACGTTTAAATAGTCTATTACATAACTACATTACTAAAATATGAATCGTCTACTTATCTCTATAATCTTACATTTCAAGTTTTTCAACAGTAGTTGAAAAAGTGTAAATTAACTCTAAATAGGCTCCAATGAGCTGCTACCTTGACGTATGTTGATTAGGTTACGTTTTCCGATTCTTTTCTTCTATATTCTTAGAACTAAATAAATTGTACGGATGAGTTTATTTCAGAAGAATTAAGTAGGTTAATCTTGAAAAATTTTCAATATACCTATATGAAATAATCATTTGTAAAATTAGAATAAGATCCGTAGCTTCAGATTGAAGCTAGAATGAGTTTAGGTTATTTAGAAGATAAATAAATCTGAATTAAAACAAGACGAGTTGAAATCAATCAATTCAAATGAAATTCTCTCAGATAATTCAAATTCAAGTAAATAAATATAATTCGGTTTTCAGAAATTTTTCAAATTTTTATTCTATTTCACTCGTTGCATAAAAGATTTTCTAGAAAATTTTTAAACAATTTAAATTCATATTAATTCTAGAGTTAAGTCTGACATTAGATTTTCATTTTCATAACTGGGCTGATGTGTCTATGTTTGTAGAAAAAATTTGAAATGTATATTCATATTTTCGTGTAAAGTCGAATAAAATTTCTATTTAGTTTCGCTAGATCTATTACAAAGACATTTTTTTATTGTAATTAGATTTGAATTTCCTTCTATTCTCGATATTTCGAATAGTTACAAAAATATGATTCGGTTTAGTGAAAAACTTTACTTATCTTATTTTATCCTACTCTTCATTATTTTAGTAAATAAAAAATATTTCTAACGTAAGTTGTAGAAAGCCATGAAAGAAACAAGATTTTTTTCTAACAAACAATAAGAGAAAACAAAATTAATTCTTATGTCATTTATTTCAAAATGCTTTACGCTACGTACACGCAGATACAAGTATAAACACGATCCGATTGAATAATGATCACACAAAAAGATCTATCTCTTTTTCTTCTTTTTTATTCAATAGAAACTATATCTTTTCTCCATATTATTGTTATTTTTATTGTATTTAAAAGACTCGAATGTATTATATATTCCAAGTTAAAAATTAGATTATCGACATTAAGTATAGTAGCAACATATTCAATATGGGCAAAATATATCGTTTGAAAAAAGTTATGATCATTTACAAAACAATCTGTAACTTTTCAAAAGAATATGAAGATTATCGGAAATATTATAGGATTACTACGAAGAGAGTATCTTATAATTTTTTTTCGGTAAACTTTCATCATTAAGAAAATGTGAATGATACATTTTGATAGGACCATGTTTGTTATATTTCACTCTTCACTTTTCTAAACAATTATCTGTTTTTGCATAATTATTGCATATCAATCGAACTTTTCTCGAATAAGAGGATTCAAAAAGCAGGTACATTTTAAAATATGATTGTTTTTGCTTTTATTTGTGATGCAGTGGGGGACTGGGAACGAGTAGTAATCGTTGTTTCGTCAAACTTCTAGATTCGTCAGTCTATGCATGAATGAACATCGCTACATATCCATTATTAGTTAGTGCTACCATTTATCTCTAAGTATTATACTATAATAGGTACGAATGATTTCTATATCAATGTATACATAGATGTAAACATGTTAGTAGAAGGTTTCTAATAATATCTTTTCTAACATATAAACCAGCAATCAAACTTTCAATTAGGTTATCCATCAACAACATATATCCACAACACAGTTGACAGTGTGGCCTGTAGGCCAGACTAAAGTTGTTTACCGAACTCCTAAGTTTTGGAAATTGAGGGTTTTTTTAGATCCAAAACGATTGGATAGTGAATTTTGCGATGATGTTGTCGCAAAAATTGATTTTAAAATATAAAAGTTGTTGCATGTTTTTTTTAGAAGTACAACATATTCCCTACATTTTCCTTCTACACTTTTTGTTGCCACTTCTCTATATGTGTCATCATAAAAGACTTTCTTTTATGAAAAATGTCTGAATAATATCTCCCTGTTCTACTTTTCTGATCCAAATTGCATCAATTGTGATCTCATGTAAGAATTTAGTATATGGGTATGAAATTGAGATTTGGTTGTCTATTTGGAGAGGCGTAGATTAATGTTTTGGATTTGATCATGTCTCGAGTAGATATGCTATTTAAGACGTATAAATTGAAAAACAAAAGTACTTCCGGGTGAAATATTCGAAATTTCTATCTAGTTATCTAGTTTATATTTTCATCTTGTTTCCTTCAATTAAAGATGAAAAGTTATAAGTGAATAGGCAAAGAGATATTACTCTTATTTTTCAAATATCCTTTTATTTCTATCATGAAAATAAAACAAATCTCATAGAGACTATGAAAACCCAAAGAGAAGTGACAACAACCAATAGGTTTTCATTGCTCATGTTTTCATCGGAAAAAACCTTTTCATACTCAAAGATCAACTATTATGAAATAGATGACGACAGGAAGAAAAATATTGTTCTCGTCTTTAAAATATTAATATATGTGAATAAGATTTTCTACTAACCTCTTAATACACTCAAAATTAAGTTTAGATGATTAACTCGAGCGAATATTATGTTGTTGTTTTGTATGATTAAATGGTTAGAAGGGAGGTTCACTCTTAAATAAATTAGATAACGTCATGCTAATGATGTACGGGAACAAAGAAAAACTTTGAATTCAATTATATTTGCCTAACGCAATCATTTAAACTAAACTTTATGTCAATTAAGTGTTAAGTAGAGAACCTTAAACTTAATATTAATCATAAATTGATTCGTTAACATTTAATGGTACAAAATGAAATGATGACCGCTGAGTATTCGTCATCGAGATTAAGATTTAAAAAATAAATGTTAACTTAATTTCACATCTGAGTAAATGCTTAATCTCTAAAACAGAAGATACAGATTTTCAACAGCTTCCGTTTCACCTATATATAAATTTCTTACTCGCAATTTCATGAAATGCTTGTTTTGTTGCTTTGTACGAAAGGCATGTCGAGAGGAGTGACGATGTTGTGCAAACAAAAGGTAAAGTAAAACCAAAAAACGAGCCAACGGGTTTTTGCTTGCGAAGCAAAACGAAGCAGAAGAGAAAAAAAAAGGATTGTTCGTTTCGAATGCAACAAATACTAAAATGGTTGCCTCTTGGAAGTAGAATTCTATGACAACTGATTGGCTGAAATTGAAAGCATTAGGTGAGGGTGTCACTGCAACAAACGATATGGGTAATGACAAGACATATTCTATATTCCTCTGTGAAAACAATCATTTATTTGATGTTCAATACAAAAAAAAATTCAAATGTGCAGCATTTTATCCAGTAGTCTTCAATCAGAAGAACAACAGCAGAGAAAATTTTCGAACAAAGTTCACTAATGAGACCAAAGCGACAGTGTGGGTATGAGTGTAACTCGAAAAGAGAAATAGCCAAACACACATCCACCCACACTTGTATCCAATTGTTGGTCTTCGAAAGAGAGCCGCTAATGAGATTAACATTTACAATTCTAATCTTGTTTGAATAATCGATTATTAATCAATTAATAATAGTGAATAGAGAAAATAATTGGTTATTTGAATTTTATCTCTTCATCATAGAATTGATTTTTCTTGCCTATAGGATAAGAATTAATGAATAGTCGAAAATCTCTTATCAAAGTCGATACACATTTGATCTTTTTTGATAAAAATTATTGTCAATATGAGACAAACACAATAAAGGAATTTTTATTTTGCAAAAAAAAAAGATCCGAAGCAAATCTCGGCATTATCAGTGATCTATTCAACAAAGAAATAACAAACATCAACAATAGGACAACTTAATCATTTTCAATAGTATTATTTTATATTTTTGAAAACAAATCATAAAAAACTCTCATTAATTTTCGAATGAAAGTGGGGAATAACAGGGTGTGCGTGTGCGTGTGGGTGGGTGGGTGCGGAATATGGGTGCTGGTGTCTCACAACCACACCCACACCCACCCATAGAATAATAGTGACTCTAACTATCAATCATCCTGCATTGATGTGATGCATCACCCTTTTACAAAACTCAATCAATTAAAAAACATCTCTTCTTTATTTATTTCTTCGCTTCATATCATCATGTTTCAAAAAAGATCATAAATTTTATTCGAATTACTACCACAAAAACACAATATAACATCAAAATCTATTTATTTTCACCCATTTTTTGACACTCTTACAAACTTCACATTTGGACACAATTTTATTAATCTGGTTATTGAGCTTGTAAGGAAAAATGTTGATAGAAATAAAGCTATCATTGCAACTAACATTGATACATTAATAAATATATAAGCAATTCGAAGATGATATTTTAGTGTCAGACTGAAGAATAATATAAAAAGTATGTTAGCGCAGCTCCTATGGGGCTAAAATGGGAAGCCCACATATACTCTCTAACTTCAAAGTCTGACGCCTATTTTCTTCGGTTACTAAAGTCTGTAATGGGAAGAGCGGGGGCAGGGGAAGCTCCAAAACTTTGACTTAACAATTACACTCCCTATTATTTTCTTCGAAAACATATGTGAGTTTCACAAAGTTAACATCATACAAGGAAGAGGAATAAGATTAATACATATTCGTACTTCCTCTTGGATGTTTTTATTTCATTACCATGAACGCAATGATTACATATCCAGATTAATATTTTCAAATTTAAAAAAAAACAAAGACACAATGCAACACGAACATTTCAGATGTTTCTGTTAATTTTCACCATTGCTGTTACTGTTGGTACAACTATATTTGGACGAACATTTATTAGTTTCTTTAGAGATTTTTTAAGTGAATCTGTAAATTGAAACAAAGTAATCATCACACATATCACTGATAGATACATGAATATTATAGAAAAACGAAAATAATATTTCGGTGGAGTAGTGAAAAATGATATTATAATAAACACTCCATAAGGAAAATTAATTGTCATTAAAATCATGATAAGTATAACTATTCGATGAACCATTTTTAATTCCCGTTGTGCACGAAATAAATTATTTGCAGGTGTTACACAATTATTCATTTTTTTCACATATCGAACTAATTTGAAATAAATCAATCTAATCATCCAGGCAGGTAGCATATAGTTACAAAATGAAACAAAACAAATTGAGAAAGAAAATCGGAGAGATAATAGACACACTTGGTTATCAACATCATAGATTATTTCGCCAGTAAATAAAAATGAAACAGAATATACAAAAGAAAAAATCCAGGTAACGCCAATAAGTAATATTTGTGTTCGCGTTGATTGCCAAAATAAACGAGTTGGATAAACAACAGTAACATATCGATGTATCGCTTGTAATAAATAAGAATAGTTCTGTAGAGTACAGAAACTGTAAATAAAATACCCTCGAAGGCTACAAAGTGAATCTTGGTATTGAATTTGTTTAAGATCATTTTGTAATGTAAATACAGCCACAACAAGTATATTCAATGCAAACATAACTTCAGCTAAACATGAATTTGCAATTAGTAGCATTGAAATTGTATGACATGTTTTATCAACAACAATAATAAATAAAAGGAGTGTTCCAAATCCAATGGCTAAGGAAGTGAAAATGATCGCTAAAATATCAAGCGGAATAAACCATGACTCAACAGCAGCTACAGCTGAGTTGTTAACAAATGTCACTGATACTGTATATAATGTTGAATTCATTTTCGACAAAGTAAATAAATCAATTGATTTAATATTGGCATTTTATCTATTGAGTAAGTCATGCACGATATTTATGTGAATGAGAACTACGCATGTATAAAAAAAACGATTAAAAATTAGATTAAAAGTCTATTATTATGGCACTATTATAATCTGATTTTTCAGCCTTAAAAACGAGAGTTTATTTGATTTTAGTCTTTTTTAATCTATTTTAATCGGTTAAAAAAACTTTAATCAATTCAAATCGATGTCTTATAATCAGTTATAATTGATTTAATTTAAATAATCGATTAGAATATATTAAAAAGACTAAAATCAAATGAAATCTCGTTTTTCAGGCTGAAAAATCTGAATAAAATTAGATTAAAATAGTGTCATTATAATCAATTTTTAATCTAATTTTTAATCGTTTTTTTTTTCATATGGGATACTCTTTGAGTATTAATGCAAATATTTTTCTAGAGGCGCTGGCTTAGCATTAACATTGCATTAATCTAATACTTTTTTAAAATGCTTTTGCATTAGAGTTAAAAATAATACCTGAATGCTTTTGTGTTAGTATTAAAAGAGTTAACTAACACTGGCATTAGTTATGAATTAGTATTAGCATTAAAAATATCATTAGTTAATACTAGTACTCACGAAAAATGTATTCAATAATGCAATTTTGGTGCTAATTTTAATTCAATGCTAATACCAAGGTATGAATTAATGCTTCTAATGCTAACACAAAAGCATTAAGGTATTTTTTTAATTCTAATACAAAAAGTATTAGCATTTTTTTAATACTAGTGCTAAGCCAACATCACTACATTTTTCTTTTTTACAGAACGCAAAGGAAAAATGAAAAAAAAAAATAATATCTATCTTTAGTTTTTGAACTGCTCTTTCTGACTAGGAAATATTGAACTATCTTGATGAGTAATTAGAAGATGTCAGCAACAAAAATATTACTATTCTGGTCTTTTTGATTGAGAAGATCAAAAGCAGTTGTAAGAAAATTATCAGTCTAAAAAAATATATTAAACTTGATAACCCAGGTCAAAGTCGTCCGATAGAATTCTATCAGATTACCATGTCATTCCGACAGCTAGATCTCACTATCGGAATCCTGTACCAAGGAAATCATTGAATCCGGCAATAGTTGGTAGGATCCTATCAAATCCGCCGTTTTTTTCGATGAGATCCGATAGGATCCCACTATGAGATCTGTCGCCCTGTGAAGCAAAAGAAAAACTTCCTCAACTGAAGGGAGGATCACATGAAATAAAATGAGTTTGTGTGTTTGTATGTTTGCATACACGTATAAAGTCGCTTGTCTATATGTTGTGATGATTGTGTAATATATGAAGTTTGACCTGAAGTAATTTGAGTCAGCGAATCCGAATCTGCAATCAGATTTTCAAAATTTTGAATGGGATTTTTCTTGTCAGCAAGAGGCTATTTTACGAAAATAATAAATTTTTAAAAAGTTTGAACGAAGGCTTTCGGAGTCGAGAAATCCAAAGCTGCTGTTAGGTGGTCAGAAATCCGAATTCGTGTCTTTGAAGAAATCATTTTTCAGGGAAATAGTGTTCGCTTATGGAGTTTAATCAAAAGGAAGCGCGGTCGAGAACTGTGGATATGAAATCAGTTTCTCGAAACTGCGTATTCGTTTTTTTAATAGAGAAAGCCTTGTTGCACATGGACAATAATCGACTGTTGTCAAAGTGCATTCTAATTAGAGTACTGTACGGATACAACTTTTCGTACCCGTCAGTTTCGTATACATACCCTACTCGTATCTACAACCTCAATATCTACATTTGACAATATTCGCATCGTAACCCTAATATAGAAAATAAGTTCAGTATTTTTTTTTTATTAAGCATTATTAGCCCTATGACTATGACAGTCCTAAAGGAACAATAGAGCTCAAATGCCGTTTGTACCGGGTGTAAGTTGAATTTAAAAAAATACGAAGCAGCAGATACTATAAGATAAACATGTGATCAAATATGAAAAAAGAAAAGAAAAGTACAAACGAACGAACGAAACAGAACGGAAAACAAGAAGTGGACACAGTGAAATTAAAAGAAAACAAAAGCAGCAGTAGACGCCATGTTCTGAGGAGATGAGTATATGTGTCTACTTTCTTTCTTTTTCCTTTCTTTTTGTTTCCTCTATACTCAAACTGTCATCCTCGCTCCTCGTTTATATGGTGTTTTCCCTTCATTTTACCTTTCTCCTCGTCTCTCTATGATTCATCACTCGGCTTTTCTTCCTCTATTGCTCTTCGCTCCCTTTTTTGTCAGCATGACTTTTTAGTAGCATCTACTAGATTTCACTAACTGAAACTTTCCGGAAATAAGGCGAAACTCAAAAATTCTTCTTCATTACGTTCTACTATGGAATCTGAAGTTTCATGAGTTGTCATCCATCTTAGCGCTTGTCTTGATACATCTATGTGCGGAACGAATCTTTTTGATCTACGAAAACATTGAATACGTTCTGCTCCCTCTTACCATTTTGTCCTATTTGCATACAATTCCGATTGTTCCATTAACAGGTATCCCTCCTTAGACTTCGACAGTGCCTTTACATATCTTTCCTAGTAGACATAGCAGAGATCGTCCAATGATTTTTCATTATAAATAGACGAAAAGACGAAGTTCCTCCAATATTGCCTATGATACACTCGTTTTAATTAGAATGTAATATCAATGATTAAGTTTAATCCTCTGTGATTCAGTAAATAAAGGATATAGTCCAAATAACCAAGTGAAATGTGGGCAGTACGAAAGTGGAAAAAAGAAGGGTGTGCGGGTGCGAGTGTGAAGGCTCAGTTCAACCACACCCACATCCCCTTCAAAGTCATTGTAGATTGTATAAATGCTTTCGCCTCTTTCTTAATATTGCCATACAAACAAAGAGTAAACATGAAGTCGTGAGTTAGTGATGGTGACGTTAGCTTCGTACAATAGTGAAATCGATAAACCATCACTTTTGGACTTCTGTATATTCTGAGAATAGAATAGTATGTTAAGTTGAAATCAAATTCTATTGAACAAGAACATTTTGATATGTCACCGAACGCAAAAAGAAATAGTTTTTTTTATCAAAGACACTCTTTATCTACGTATATATCATATTCTTCAAATAATTACACAATATCGAGTATGTTTAATTGTAGACAACAGTAGTTTATGAATATGAAAAATAGGTTCGATGGCGTTAGATTACTATAAGATTCATCTGGTCATATAGCTTAACATCAAGTAAATAAAACTTAAATTTTTCGAATTAAAATGAAACTATTTAAAAAATATTTTGTCGTAAAATCCTAATTCATTTTCATTGTCTTATTATACAGAATCTTTCTAATAAAATAGTGTCAAATCTGACGACTTTTCACCAGCATATTTTTTATGGATATCAATTAGATTGATTTGTACGTTGTACTATTGTTTTTTTAGACTTTCGTGATAGTTTATGTTAGATTCTATATCATTGTTTTTCTATGATGAATACGAAGGAGACTCTAACCAGTATGATTAATCATCGAAAATTTGAATAATTGTTTACTACAATTACTAATTATCATGAATATTTCACAGAAGGAAATTTTGATTCAAATGAACCATTTTCTGTAGTTCTCATATTATCTGGAGGCAGTAGGATTTAATCTCTGTTAAAAAATTTTTCGTAAGGTTCATAATAACGTTTTATCAGACAAGTCTTCACTAATCTATCTTGTTTTGACTTTTTTCTAACGTGAAAAAAAAAGATTTAACGCTCTTCTAACCGTACTGGCAATCTGCTTTCTCAAAACAAACGACAATTAAACATTTAGTTTCAAGTAAATCAATCATATTTTATTTAAAAAGATAAACCATAATTAAATCTTGACCATTTTGGTATAAAAGAGTTACTTTTTTCCGTAGATAAGTATATGTTTAATCTTATGTTCTTTTTGAAATCGAATTTGTGAAAATATCCAACAAAGGAAAATATTTTTCTACTCTTTTGTTACTCATCAGACTCTATCGAATGGAAGATGTTTTAATGCACAAGTGATTTAATATATGATTTGTGTTATTAAAAAAAAATCTGTTGAAAAAGAAACCTCTTGATGGTAGAACTTCGTCTTCATTACCCCCTTGTAATGTGTTTAAATATATTTACAGTGCGCAGTACATACATAAAATATTTCAAAATTCAACATATTTCATTACGAAAAAAAATTTCAGTATCGAATTGATTTCTTTTCGGAATAGAGATGATTGTACGTCTGTTATTGCATTAATTTTATGCGTATTTTTAAGCCTTTATGGCTCTTTTTGTACAAAAGACATATTTTTGTTTTTGCAGGAAACATAATGCCGATTAACTTATTTTGATTTCTCATACCTTTTTTGGAAATTGTGCACAACATATAACTATAGTAAATCATGATAATAATCAATTTTAAATAAGGAAAATTAGATTAGTAAACGATGTCAGTGACACGACAGTTGAGCCTCGATAGTTCAGCTCCAGTCTTTTGAGCCTTTTATAGGCAACTGGAAGATGTGGGTATGCGCCAGGGTTTTGGTGTGCATGCGAGTGCGAGGGTGTGGGTGGGGGTATGGATGTCAGTTCTCAGTTCTTCGACATACACTCCCACAGCCACAGCGTTTTCGTGTATGTACAAGACAAGAATCTTTCAAGAGAGCGAGAGCTTTATTTATTTTCTAGATTTGTTTCTTTAACAAAGTCCATAAGTATCATAATTCTTCACGTTGATATTTACGGAACCATAAATGTCTGAAGGCTCAAATGTCGGACCTCATCTGTCGGTGTACCAACGATGTCATTATATGTGATTTCTTGTGTGATCGAATAATTAATATCAATTGTTGATATTCATTACTAGTACAACAATATATGTGAATTATTGAGTTACATGGTTTTTTAACATGATAAATGAACGCATAATCAATAATTTTTCTTATTGCTAACATCGTTTCGATATGTGATAT